TTTAGTGCCTACGTACCACCTTTCATGCAATAGGGGATCAGGGTACACGCAGTTCCTCTTTAAAAAATTTTAAAACACAAGTGTGTTAGTTAATTTTATGAGATAAGACACAATCATCATTGTCCGTGTGGAAAACATACTTACTACCCACAATAATGAGAAAGGAAAATTTGCATCATCTCAAAGTGGAAGATATGACTTGGATTTTAAAATCAACAATGCCTTACTTAACACCCAAGTGGAAAATATCTCTCTTCACTATATATTATAGAAGTATAGTTGTTTGTATCACTACAAGGATTGACAAGAGTATAATATTTTAAGAAAATTTAAAGATAAGAGCCAAAATGGCAAAATGGTTTGAATGAGATTGATTGACTTTTAGTCTTCTCACAAAAATGTCAAAGTATTATTAAGTTGATTAAAGTTTATTTATGAAAACATTTTGAAAATGCATGGACCTAAGTCCAAGTTTATTATGAAAGTGGTTCAAGTTTAGAAACAAGAAGAGTTTTCAAAAGGAGAGAGAAGATTTTTGAAATTAAAGAAGATGGGAGGAGATGAAGGGACTATCCTAAAGCATAAGGTAAAAGCTAAGAAGAAGAACCATCTAACCAACAAGAAGCCAATACTTGACATTATGAGTCAAGATATAATTCCAATTCCTTGGATTTAAACCAAGCAAGCAAATATACTAGACCTCTTGAGAGAATCAAACTTCAAATGTATTAGGTCTTCAAAAAACATTGGGCAGAGTAACGACTATATATGGGTGCATTCCAGATTACAAACAAAGTGTGTAATCACAATAACCTGCACACAAAACAAACAAACAACTCAATATCTTGAGGTAAACCTCAAGAGCTCCAGAAAAAAATATCAATTAAGGTCACAAGGTCTCCAACATAGGCCAATGTCTCTAATCCTAAGTCCAAGAAGTCCAATACTCTATAATGCCAAGGATAATAACCAAATAGTCTAAGTATCATTAATGTTTTTTATGGTTCATGTTGATTATTAAGTATCTTTAAAAAGAAAAGAAAAGCTCAAGTGAGCAAAATAAAAATGACATAAAAGTAAATGCTCGTGAGCAAAGATAAAAAATAGCATGAAATGTAAATGCTAAAGTAAATGGTACATAAAGTAAAGAGCATAAAATAAAATCATAAAATAAAGTCAATTGTTAGAAGTTAATAGTTAGTTGGATGACCATATTGAAACTTGCATTTGGAACTCATTAGAAGATTGGTAGAACCAAAGCCTCTCAACAACAAGTTGCATTTGCTTTTTGTCAAGTATATCATCCATTTAGGAAACCTCAAGGCAACATTTAATGATCAACGATGTTTAAGTGATCCGCGTTGACCAAAATTGATGAAGATCCATTGGAGGATTGGTAGAACCAAAGCCTCCTAACAATGAATCTCAAGGTTATTGGATCAAAGAGATCAAATTAACATAATTGGGCTTGCAAACATAGATTTGGGCCACGAATAATCATTTATTTGAATCGGGACAAAATTTAGCGCTATGTTAAACAATTGTAAGTGGACTTATATAGAAGTCACACCTATTTTGAGGCCGATCAGTAGCAATCTATGTACTTCATGTTTAGATAAATGATATAGAGATCATCATCCCATAACATGTAGCACAAAATAAAAAAGAAAGGGATAAGATGAATACGGAGGGGAATGATAAGCTAATTTGGATCACCACCTAAAATTTCTTTCATCTTTAAATTCAATCACTCATCTAGATGGATTAAAGCACTAAACATATCATTAATCCAAAGCACCAAAAATAAATTAAATAATTCACTCTTTGGTAGATTTGAATTGATGAACATTTATCCAACTTCATCTACACCCCAAAGTCCATTGAATTTAAAGAGAAATTGAACATTTAAAATTGCAATCCAAATCAACAATCAAAAGGAGTGAGTAGAAAAATAGTTATGGATCAAAACAACCCCAAAATAAGGCAGAAAAACATTTTTGTTATGTTGCAATCGATTGCATCAGTGCATTTTTTCAAAAAAATTTGAATTTTGCTCTGTGGCAATCAATTACGCTGTTACAACAATAAATTACACTCTATAAAAATCAGAAAAACAACATTTCAAAATGCCAAATTCTTGTTCAAACTTTCCATCAAGCATCTTATGATCATGGATTCAATTGAGCACGAAAATTCCATCAAATTATGAGAAAATAACACCAATGGAATCATAAAATAATGCTCAATGAATCAAACCCAAAGATCAACAAGAGATCATATTGTGAAAGATGAAAAATCCAACTTACCAAAGGTAGATCTAGAGAATTATCAAAACCACTTTAAGAATTTGCTTCAATTCAACCCCAAGAATCAATTGCCCAAGCTTGGATGTAGAGAATTGATGAAGAAAATGTGTTTGGATGAAGGTTTAGCTCAAAGATTAGTAAGCTTCAATGAAAAGCTTACTAACTTTTTTAAAAAAAATGAAGCTTTGAGTGAATTTGGTAGATGGAAAGAATTGAGAGATTTTTTAGCAAGGTGAATTTGGCTATCAAAAGCTTGTGATTTGAATGAAATGAGAGCTCTATTTATAGAGTTTAGGCTTGGGATCGTGGTAATTGATTCTTGGAGCCAAAATTTGAATTAATGAATATCTTTCAAAAATTGGAGTCAAAATTTGAATTAATGTATATTTATTTCAAAAAACAAAAAATTGGCACCAAAATTTGAATTAATTATATATATTTCAAAAACTGAAAAATTGGCACCAAAATTTGAATTAATGATATATATTTCAAAAAATGAAAAATTGGTACCAAAATTTGAATTAATGATATATATTTCAAAAAATAAAAAATTGGCACCAAAATTTGAATTAATGATATATATTTCAAAAAATGAAAAATTGGCGCCAAAATTGACAGGGTTGAAATTGCTGATTATTTCAAATTTTCACTCTGCGCAATCGATTACGCTCCAGGCTCAATCGATTGTATCAGTGTATTTTTTTTAAAAAAGGACGCAAAATGCACTCTGTGCAATTGATTGCACTATAAGGGAAATCGATTGTACAGTGAGATAAGAAATGAATTTTTTTTTATAAATTATTTTTCTTTGCAAATAGAGATTTCATGAAAATAATACCGGAAAACCTTATTTGTCAGATGCTTTGACTCGGTACCTAGAAAACACAGATATGCAAAGACGACAAATATTTTTTGTATTTTGATTAGAAGTTAGTCAACAACACATATACCAAATATACCACCAAGGTGCTTGGAGATCTCTCAAGAACAAATTTAAAGATAGGAGATAGAAAAGAGGAAGAACCAACCCCAATGTGATCTTGTTATGATCGAGTTCATATGATATGATAGGAGAATCTTATGGACAAAAATTGGGGTACAGCACTAACCCGAACTCAAGAAAATTATCAAAATGTCTTTCTTGTTCTTTTCACCATTTCCTTTATTATATAAAAGAAAAGCCGGTGACGACTCTTGCTATCCTTAACAGTTGTGATAAAACGCAAAATACCAAAGTCAGTTCTCCCACCGTATTACAGTTGCATAAATTTTTTTATATTAATCTTTGTAATAAAAAATTCTATAATTTATATTTTGTTAAAAAATATTATTGTATTTTACTAAAAATAATATATACTAAGAAATTAATTGTCATATACAATATAAATTTTTTTACACTATCACTGTATCATAACCACTTATAAATATTACTTTATTAATAATTAAAATAAAAATAAAATCTAATTTAAAATCTAACGGTTATAATTTATTGATAGTGTAAGATTTCTTTATATTGTCAGTGCATTCCAATTAAATTCATATATTAATATAAATATAATTATTTATTAATATTTTTAATAAAACATATTTATAATAAAATATTAAAATCTAACTTAAAGATATTTTTATTTTTTTAAAAAACTAAACATACTTCTTTCTCTTCTATTTCTCCTCTTTTTCTTTTATACTAATCAATACCTTAAATATACTCTATCTCTCATTTATTTCTTTTTTCTTTCTCTTCTATTTCTCTTCTTTTTCTTTTATACTAATCAATACCTTAAATATATTCTATCTCTCATTCATTTCTTTTTTCTTATACCTATTCTCACCTCTTTCTCTTTTCCCAATTTCTTCTCACAACCAATCATATCCTAAATCATGCCAATTTTTAGACTTAACCTGATAAAATTTGATTAATACGGGCTAAAAAAACAGATTCTTACAAAAGAAGATTAGGTGGATCTCATATCACCAAATACTAATATATATTTACAAAAACATAAAAACTTTAGCATAATAATATTTTTAATTATAAGAAATTAAACTTTAGCATAATAGTATGTTCAATTATACGAACTTATAAACAGCATAGTTTTTTGTGCTGGCCAACAGATCCACGTAACTATATATATACACACCAAGTCAATTAAATTTTTAAGCAACGGCAAAAACTTCGAATGGTAAACATTACCATTTATCAAGAAATATGTCTATTTGGAAGAAATGTGTCTATTTGGAAGAAATAACCAAATGTAATTACACATAAGACATCAGAAAATTCTTGCACGTTTGGAATTAATTTGACTTTTTAAATAGTTTCACATTCAGATTCTCAATCTTGGTTGTCAGTTCTTCTCTCTTCTCTAATTTGCCTGCCGCCCTGCCCTGTTGAGCTTTACAAATATTTGTTGTTCATATCAAAAAAAGAAAACTCATTCAACATTTTTACCTTGCCTTGTCACCTACTCTCAACTCGAATAGAAAGTGTAGGATCCACCATGGTTAAAACAATAATAATGTGATGTAAAACATTAAGACAGGCTGTAATAATGCATTTGAAAAATTAAGAAATCTTATAATTCATGCTTGGGTAACACACTATAAAGAGAGCTGATACAAGCCTAAGCAATCACAGTAACTAGCCAACAGTTTTCCAAGAAACTAAGTACAGCAATACTCACTTAAGTGAAGATGGGAACCTCAGTTGGGTTGAGGCATTGGCCTCAACTTATCTATGCAATTGCATTTTTCTTAATTGCAAGAAATGTTGCCGCTGATTATGATAAGCCTTACTATGAAGGCCATCCAAACAATTACTATCCCCTTCCAACAGCACCAAGTCATGAAGAACAACCACCATATCATTTTAAACCACCACCGTATGTCTATAAGAGTCCACCACCTCCCTCTTCATCGCCACCACCTCCTCCATATGTCTACAAATCTCCTCCTCCACCATCTCCCTCACCACCTCCGCCATACGTTTATAAGTCACCACCACCTCCATCCCCTTCACCTCCTCCTCCATATGTCTATGAGTTCCCACCACCTCCATATGTTTATAAGTCCCCACCCCCACCATCACCTTCACCGCCACCTCCATACATTTATAAGTCTCCTCCCCCACCATCTCCTTCACCACCTCCTCCATACATCTACAAGTCACCCCCACCACCATCCCATTCACCACCCCCTCCATATGTGTACAAGTCCCCACCCCCACCATCTCCCTCCCCATTACCCCCGTATGTTTACAAGTCTCCTCCTCCACCGTCCCCTTCTCCTCCTCCATACTATTATAAGTCCCCTCCCCCATATGCTTACAAATCTCCACCCCCTCCATCTCCTTCACCTCTTCCACCCTATATCTATAAGTCACCACCACCTCCTTCACCCTCACCACCTCCTCCATACTACTACAAATCTCCACCTCCACCATCTTCATCACCTCCTCCATACCATCACTACCTCTATAACTCGCCACCACCTCCCATGTATTAAGCTCTTGACTGAAGCTAGTTGAATTGTTTTCAATTAATGATGTTAAACATTGTTGTGATGAATCTACATTTAAGCTTTTATTAATAAACAGTCTACATTCTTCGTTGAACTAAGAGCCTTATTTTAGTTCTAATGCAATTGGGTACGTACATTTTTAATTCATAAGTTAATATTCATCTATTTCCTTTAGTTGTTTTTGATATTTTTACCTATTTTTTATTTACTCTCACCTTCATATCACCAACATTCGACACAGAAAAGTATTTACCCATAAACATATACTAGTTACAATTCATATGTAAGATAAATATAAACCGAATCCAAATAAGTAAAAGTATATCAAAACAAATGAATAGCCTGCCAGTAGATTGAGGATATGTTTAATGCAATTTTCACGCAGTTAATCAAACCTACAAACAACAACTATATTAGTCTTATCAAGTAAGAAAATGAACAGTTGAGTATCATCTCCATTGAGATTTATGTTCTTAAAAATTACAGAATTGTGATCAGATGATGACCAATTTAGTGGTTAACATATGAGTTTGCAATGATTAAAAATAATAGAATTCCTATTACTATATGCAGTTATATGTAATGTACTGAAAAGTATAATATGTAACTGATGTAATTAACGAACACTCAATGGACAAAATTGAAACAGCAAGAATCCAACACGCACAATGAGAATAGAGAGATGGATACAAACATAGCTAAATGTCGGAGTTTGTTTAATCATTAGTTGATGCAATTTGAATCATGGATTTAATCAAATCAACTAAATTATTATACGATTTGATTTTTCAAATCAAATTTATTAATTAATAAATAAATCTTTTTTTTAACTTGGGCCTCAAGCCACTCAATCTAGGGTTTCACAAGTGAACCTATAAAAGAACTTGTCTAGAATTGATAACGTGCCGGTCTTTCTCTCACACGCTTCCCTCCTGCAAATTCATTCCAAAACCATGAAACGTTCCATCGACGATTCCACGGCAACCATTCCCAAACCAGTTTTCCTCACCAAAGCCCGGCGTGAACGGCAAGCTCTTGAACGCCACCACATTCAAGTCACCGGTCATCGGCGTAATCAGGAAGACTTTCTCCTTTCAACTAACAACCGTGATAAGGAACATGAAGAAGAGATTAAGCCAGCGGAAAGAGAAAAAGAGGAAGAGGTTGAAACGATTAAATCGAAAAAACCAAAAATGAGGGTTATTAAACCTACCGAGAAATTTATATTTTCTTTTGAATGGGAAAATCCTGAAGATATTTTGCGTGAGTTGGATATCATGAATCAAGAAGATGCTCAGTTAAGAATGATGGTTGTTTAGTGTAACTCCAATATGTGGAGAGTGTTATTTCAAATTGAACAATACTGTGTAAAACCATTGCTTTACTACGTTTTATTAACTTGTTCGGAAAGAATGGTAGTTTTGGGTGAATAATTGGATGATTTGTTTTCTAATTATTTTATTTTTTATTTAATTAATTTGTATTAAATATATTGTCTATATAATGTTCTATAAATATGATCAATTTAAAATTGAAGAATTAACTATAAGAGATATTATTAATTTATTATTTTATCTTTTTTATTTTTCATAATTTGTGGTAAGTTTCTATACTATAATTTATTAAATTATCAATAATTTTCAAAGGATTACAAAATAGTGTGTTTGATATATCACTACAAAAAAATATGTCCCCAGCAACATATATTAGCGACGTGCTTATCACGTGGGTAGTAGCGACGTGATAACCACGTCGCTAATATATTTTAATGACATTTAATGGAAACTGGTGAACGTTGTTGGGAGGGAAGTTTGAAATTTTGTAGCGACGTTAAAGCCACGTCGCTAAATTTTTGGGGGGAAAAATAATTTCGCTGCGCAGTGTTGGACAGAGAAAAGTATTTATGATTGCATTGTAGCGACGTGATTATCACGTGGCAACGTTGCGACGTGACAGTCACGTCGCTACTAGAAGTTACAAATGTTAACGTTTTGATTTACAGTAGCGTGCTTCTTCTTCTTCCCCTTTGCTTGCTTCCATTTCAATTTTGATTTACAGCAACTCTCACAAACTCAAACCCAATTTTGCGAATTAATTTTCTTCCATTCCAATTTGTTGAAGAAATCTAAGGTATGCATGTGATGTTAAATGTTTATTTCGTTTTATCTTTAGTTTTTATACTGGAATGAACTATTTAATTAACATGGTATTTGTTCGATTGTTCGTTATTATTTGTAGAGAAATTTGAAGAACACCAAGAACTAGAAGACGCAAATTTATTGAAGAAATTATATAGAGGTATTTATGCATTTTTTTTTAGATTTTATATGTATTATATAGATTAGATTTGTATATGTATTTTGTGGTAATTAGGAATATATGTATATACTGTTAGTAGTATAAAATTACTGATAATAAAAAAAATTTTAAAAACATATTTAATAACATATGTGTATATGTAATTTTAATTAGGAATATATGTAATTAGGAATATTTGAATAGTGATTTATAATATATGTAATTTTATAGTAGTATAAATCGTGGAATATATGAATATATGTGATTTATATATTTTTTAGTAGTATATGTGTATATGTAATTTGCATATTTTTTAATAACATATTTAATATATTTTTTAAAAAATTTTAGAAAACATAAATTTAATAACATATTTAATAACATGTTTTTTATAGATGTAAATTGTATTTATTATAATAGTTTTATTTTTTTATTTATATGTTAAAGATATGGAAAAAAAATTATATATTAGAATAACAATTTATAAAAAACATATTTAAAAAAAGAATATATATATTATATTATTATTTTAATATTATTGTTATATATATAATAATAAATAGTATGTATCTTACATTATTTGTTTTCTAATATTATTGTTGTATATATAATAAAAAGTAAATATGTTATATTATTGTTTTTTGATATTATTGTTATGTAATAAAAAATTATATATTTTACATTTGAATATTTATTTATATGTTAGTATATATATAAAAAAGCAAAATTTATATTTCTAAGAATAGTATTAAATAGTTTAAGAATATTTCTAATGAAAAAGACAATGATTGTATAAATGTGCAGTATGGAATATTATCGGTATTATCGCAGTTGGATGTACGATAGAACATATCCAGGAAGAAGTGGACTTAAACCCAATTTTATAGTAGGAGTTGATGGGTTTATTAAGTGGGCGTTTGCTCAGGATTGTTGTCGAAGCGAAGGAGGGGTTAGATGTCCCTGTCTTAAGTGTGAATGTAGACCAATAATTAGTGACCCAGAGGAAGTAACACGTCATCTGCATAGAAGGGGATTCATTGAAAATTATTGGGTTTGGACGTATAATGGTGAAGAACTACCGGTTAATGTACCAGAGACTAGCAACACGCATGCTTCAAGTAGTCGACCGGTTATGGAGTATGAGGAGAACTTTAATTTGATCGGTGACATGGTTGAGGATGCTTTTGGTGTGAACGTGACATATGCTTTTGGTAGAAGGATCTATATGTGCACATTACTTGCATCGGGAAACATCACATTTTTGCAGTCACTATTTCAATCACTTGATGTTAACTCCTAGAATCATACGGAATCCTGTAAATGTCAATCAGAGGAGTCAATTCACCTTATCAGTCTTTGCGCTACCAGGTCGACCTTCTGGAAAGAAGGGTGTGCATTGGTTGACCCAAAAAGAAATGCAATCTGCACATGTCCATGTCTTGATCAACTGCGTTGAAGTTAAACCATATCTTGAGTGAGTTTACCAAAACTTTTTAAACTTATGGTGTGCGTATACCAAATTCTTATTAAACTTATTGTGTGTTTTTTGTAGGGAATTTAACAATGCCTATTTTCATAGTACCGAGGTACAGTCAACATCAGGTGTCATTCATGCTCAATTTCCCTCATGGTTCAAGCAAACATTGTCTAGCGTTCCTGCACTAACTCCAGAAATACTCCATTTGAGAAACTTGGCAGAAGGCCCTATCCAAAGCGCAAATGATTGGCACACATACTTCGTGAACGGATATAAATTTCACACTGAGGCATGGACCGAAGGGAAAAAAACCATAAATAGTGGTGTTTTTGTAAAAGGAGTTACAGATGGCGGTGAAGACGACTTCTATGGATTTGTTAAACATATCTACGAGTTGGTATACAATTACTTGGACACGGAAAATAAAGTTGTCTTGTTTTATTGTGAATGGTATGATCCAACTAGAGGCACAAAGATAGACAAGTCATATGGTTCTGTCGAGATTCAAATGAACCGGAGATACAAAGAATATGACCCTTTCATAATGTCACATATTGTTAGGCAAGTTTATTATGTTCCTTATCCTTCATTTGTAATACGTAAAAGAGGATGGTGTGTTGTAATAAAAACAAAACCGCTAGGTCATATTGAAACTGGAGATCTAGTGGAAGATGTTGCCTACCAAGTTGATGACGTTGAACAAATTAATGATGTGGTTGCAGCTGAAGACATTACAACTTTGTCCGATACAACTGTTGAGGGCCTTCAAGTTGATGCGTCTATATTGTTGGTTGATAATAATGTGGATGAAGACAATGATGAAGAGTTTGAATCCGAGGACAATATTACATCGGATGATGAACATGATATGGATAACGAGCATGAAGATTTAGATTAATTAATCACTTAATGTAATATTAATGAATATCTATTGAACATGTATATAGTGAATTTGTCAATGAATATATATTTATGTCAATGACTTTATTATCTTTGTTTATGAAAATATATATATAACTAGGTAAAATGGCACCGAAGAATAAGGATACCGGTAAGAAGTCTCAGCGTCCGAGGGTAGTAACATGTGAGTCTCCTCACTCAGCCATGTGCCCACCCCCTCAGAGTCAGGTTGATCATATGTCCCTGGCCAGTACTCAGGGTTTTGTCCCATTACTCTCCTCCCATACATTCCCGTCTGGGGTACCTGCATCTTTTGTGCCACCTGGAGGCCCCGGTTTCCTTTTCCCACAGACTCAGATGCCGTCTTCCTTCCAGCATGCAGCAGGATCTAGTTTCCCTTTCCCACCGACCCAGATGCCGTCATCCTTCCAGCAGGCGGGAGGATCTAGTGTTCCTTTCCCACAGACTCAGATGCCATCTTCCTTCCAGCATGCGGGAGGATCTAGTTTCCCTTTCCCACCGACCCAGGTGCCTTCATCTTTCCAGCAGACTGGTGTCCCCTCATCATTCCAGCAGACGGGGGGAGGACCCAGTTTTCCATTTATACAGACTGGCGTGCCTTCATCATTCCAGCAGACAGGGGGACCCACACAGATGTATTCATCCTTCCAGCAGGCGGGAGGGTCCAGCACCCCACACTCCACACACATTGGAGGACCCAGCAGTCCACGTCCGGCACAGGCTGCAGGATCCCGCGCCCCACGTCCTAGACGGACCGGAGGGTCACGCACCCCTCATCCCACACAGGCTGCAGGATCCAGCACCCCACGTCCTACACAGGCTGGCGGTGATGCAGATGTCGTAGCTGATGATATAGATGGAGCTGATAGTCGTGAGAGATCAGATGATCCGAGTGAGATTCATGTAATTGACGGGAGGTTTTGGATTTGGCCCGAAGGAAGCAAGTAAGTTTCTTATATAAACTTTTATTTAAGTACATATTCATTTTAATATTTTGTATAAATTTATAATTAATATTGTTTATTCAAAATCTTGTTGTTTAGTTTCGCGCCGAGTCGGACGGCTGCCAAGGTTATTAATTATATAATCCAGCAGATGTATAAATCCTCTTGGAAGAACTTTGGCGAGGTTACAAATAAAGAAGAATGGTTTAAAAAATTTAAGGTATTGTTATTTATTTAAGTTGTAAATTTATTATATTTTTTTAGTATTGTTATTTAAGTCACATTTTAATGATAATTGCTTAACTTTTTATTTTAATGTCATACAACATTGCAGGAAAAATGTGTGTGGGATCCGTTGAATGAGAAAATAATGGAAAAAATATATTATAGCAGAACTTCTAGAAGATTTTCTGATATCATGCGGCGGGTTAGGGAGAATTATGAGCTGCATGGTATCCGTCCTAACTGGATAGGCGTAGAGGTTTTTGGCGAACTTCGTACATATTGGAGTTCGCCTGAATTCAAGGCCAAATCTGAAAATTTTAAGAAGATGAGGGCATCCGAAAAGGGGGGATGTGTCAATACTGTTGGAAGTATTAGCACTGCAGAGCATGTCCGGCGGATGGTAAATATTACTAATTTTTTAAGTTATATATATTTTTATTCATAATATTTTTTA